ATATTTCATGCAAGAGAGCTGATCTGCCTGTTTTGGGGGAAACATCTGAGATTTCCTCCTTTCCAGAGAAGTAAGCAGAATTTTTAAATACCTACAAGACAAGATTTCTAGATGGAAGAGAAGAGATTTGTTCAGGGAAGGGCACAGTAACCCTCAACAAGCTAGTATTACTTTTTTTGTTTCATTTTGTTTTGTTTTGTTTTAAATCATATTGGTGGTCTGAGTCTCTTAGCAGCTCTGCTGAAAATGGCTCTGATGAGCTTGAGTGTATCACTCAACTTCTGCAACACCAAGAAAGAAACACTTACAGAAAAGTTGGCATTGTGCACTGTCCTAACCATATACTAAGCCAAGATTTTTTTCTGATCTTTGGTGGGAGTGAGTTTCACAACTGATTACTGAGAAAGGCCTCATTCCCACTAGGACAAGGCTGTGAATCAAAATTTCTCTGAAACTCCTTACAGAGGGAATTGTGACCTTTGAGAATCAGTCTTCAGCTTATCTGAGGCTTTGAAAAGCAATGATTGGACAAGACTCCAAATGGCATTACATGCCGTGAGAAACCATAGCTTGCCAGTATCTTGCACACAGGTCCCATGTGGTCAATGGAAAGGCATGTGCTGCACAATTCTTTAAGAACAGTCCGAAACTTGTGCCACTGCAGCTTCAACTTCCAAGAAAGGGGAAAGGGGAGAGTTTCTGAGCTAGCCAAAGATAGTAGAAGACCTTGCCAACAGTACGGGTAGCTGCGACTTAGCTAGCCCCCCAGGATTGTGTTATATTGACACCCAGCAGACAGATTCCCTCAGCGATTCAGTCTTTCAATCTGCTTTTTGCTGCCAGCAATCTCTATACTGTTGAACACTGTGGGGAATAACTTTGGTGAAAGAAGTGCCTTTGACAGAGTCCCTTTACATAAGGTAGTAACTGGTAGGAGGTGGTGCTGGTGACTGCAGGTGAAATTAATGGGCTGTCAGATCCATTCTCAGAAAAAATGTGCAAAGATCATAGCTACTGTTGCTAGCTACTGTCTTGTTTGCTGCCTCAGAAGAAGTGCCAAGGACAGAATGGACATGGAGACCAAATTACCATCTCCTTGCTCTCCAGGCAGTTTCTGCCAGGTCAGGATTGAAGGCATACAGTGGGCAGGGCAGGGTGCCGAGGGGAATTTCCACTGCTGCTGTTTTGACTGGATTTGCTTGGTACAGGAGAGAAGCCAAGTGCAGGACAGCAGTCTCCAGCCCACCCCTTCAGCCCCTTCCACAAAAGTATAATTCATTTGCTGGAAAGAAAATACTCAGTGATTTGACTGGTCCAGCTTGTTTATCACCGAGGAGAAGAAATTACTACATATATTCATCATTGCCAGGAAAGGTCTCCCAAGCAATTCCCCGGATCCACCCCTCTGCAGATGGCTGCTCTGGACAAAGTACTGCCTGTCCTGAATTCCTGCTTTGTCATTTTCCTTCTATCTTCCACCCAGAGTCTCACAACTTCTGAAAGCTTTAAGATGCAAGGCACCATTCTACTAATGTGCAAAGCCCTGAAAACACCTCTTCCCCAACCTATTAATAACGATGCGTATAGGAGGAGTTCATGGGGAGAACCAAGTAACAGGTGGTAGAGATAATATTACACTGGAAAAGAGCAGAGCTGCCACTGCCCATGTGTCGGGAGGCTAATGTCTCACATTCATTGTCGTGTGCTAAAATGCACTTGGAGCACAGAGAAATGTCACACAGATGTCATATACAACCTGCCAATCCAAGTCCAAGAGTTAGTTCATTGTACCAAACTCCCAATGCCAAAATCAAGGAAGAATTGCAAACACTGCTTATGTTTCAAACTAATCAACTTTTAGCTATTGTATAAATAATTTAAAGCACCATTGAACAAACATGAACATCTCTTTCTCAGTCACACTAGATCCTAAGTGCTATCAGTGATGACAAGAAACCCCAACCCCGGTATTTAGAGTTAGGCTTCTGGCGCACAACAGATCATCTGGTATATTCAATGCTTAGTGCAGTAATGGCAGGTTCCTGCCTCAGGTTCTTCAAGACTAAAACTACATATATACAAGCCCAACTTATTCAATGCCTTGATTTTTTAAGTCTTTGTCACCTGCAACCACCACTTCAATTCCGAACCTTTGAAAAATCAATCATATCTTCATGTCTCAAAACACCCCTTCAAGTATTTAACTCTACTCACCAAGTTTAAGGTTACTGGTAATTTGCTTTTGGATAATACCTTTATCCTAAAATGATGCTATAAATTCAACAGTGTAGTACTTGCTTTATCCAACACATCTTTGGACATCAACAGTATATTTATATAGCTGTCCAGAGCAATCAGGCAGCAAAATGAAAAAGCACCCTAGCGTATACTGTTACTGAGGTATAAAAATGCAGAGGGGTATAAAAATCTCAGTTGAAATCTAGTTTTCTTCTGTTAAACTGTTTTTTTAAATCATATTGCCTTATCTGTGAAAAGTCTTTATTGGTGGGAGGGTTGCACTACACACATCTATTGCAATACACCAAACTCGGGAAGTCCCATGACATGTGTAGCACAGTGCATTACAGGCATGGCTCACATGCTTTGTTTAAGACTGCATTACCACAATATTTCAGGCATGTTGAATACAAAGTTTTGCAACAAAAAGGTTTGGAGTTTTCCTTAAAAAAGTCCAAATTCTCTGGAGCAAAAGTTTTTTTGAACTGCTTTAGTTATATTGCCTTAGAGATCCTAGCTGAAATCTTACAACAGGATTAATGCAAGTACTCCTGTGAAACACAGCGCAAATCATAAAAGTGCCCCAATCCTTTCTCATCCAGAACACGGCATCACGAATGGTGTTTTCATTCCCTACTACTGTCTACACTGAGAAACAAAGAAGACCGAAAGAATCACTTCTTAAAAGCCTTAGCAGCTTCCATTCAATCAATGACTTGTAAACTTAGCTTATTTGTAAGTGACAGCCTGTAATGTTTCCACCAATAAAACCTGATGTTAACTCAGGATGGGATTCAACAATGCAAGGGTACCAAAAAAAGAATCGGAAAGTCAAAATATTAAACCAAGCCCAGAAATATCACTGTCATCATAAGTGTACAGATGCAGAGCCCCAGGGCATCATGTATACGTTGGAGTAAAAGTGTTTCAAATCCTATGTGACATCTCTTTATGCAAGCCAAATTTCAGTGAGTTGATACCCTCTAAGCACCAGACACCTCATGTGGGCGCAGAAAGAGTCCAACTTAATGACATCCCACCACGTGAATCCTTCAAAAGCCTAACTTAAGTTGGTCTGACATGATGCGTAGGCCACATTTATCCTTCTGCTATTAAAAAACAAACACAATCCCCAAACCCAACCTCGCAAGCACAAAAGCACACTAACAGTTTTGATAAATAAAATCACAGTTGCACTAGATCACAATTTCATCATGATTTATCTCCTCTTAAGTCAAAGAATTCAGAGTGTTTTATTCTCTCTACATAACGTCTCCCTCTAAGCTCTTCCTTTTGGTTCCTGAAACTTCCAAAGCACTTCAGAGTGATACCACAGAGGAGCCAGTGCTCTTCACCTCGACATGAAGACTTTCCTGGGATCCCTACCCCACAGCAGGAAGCAGCTGTTGCATCTCCTACTTTTCCAAGGACCATTTCTTAGAAGCTAACCCCTCTTACTCTTTTTCCTTTCTTCTGTCACATCAGACTTCTGTTTCCTTTTCCAGGCAGTTCTTAGCAGGGCAATCACTACCCAGATTTTGTCAAAGGATACCCTTCTCAGCAAGGTGCTGCTGTCTCTCCCAAGTATTTCTCTTTCACCCAGAACAGGGCTGGTCTTTTACTTTTTGTTTCAACCTTCCCAAGCAGCCTTTGTTGTACTGACAGAGGCTAATCCTATGAGGGACCCAGCTCAGTAGCACATAGTGTGCGGGTAGTAAAATTACATGTCTCCAAGAATCACCAATAACTAACGCTCAAAGCACCAGACACTTGAACTCCGCCAACATTTTCCAACTTAGTTCTGGAAAGGATAGGCTTGGGACAGCTGGGAAGTTGTATCTCAAGGCACTTAAGTTAACTCTTCCTTCTCCTGAAAGCACCATTAAGAGGCTTTCTAGTGCCAGTTTCTATGAAGAGTATCAGAAATGAAAGCTCATTTCTCATCATCTCACTCCTGACCTGGGGTTGAATTATAAGTGGTAAACTCAAGGTGAAAGGCTCCAAATCCCATTACACATTCCCTCAGCCATCTAGCATGCAACTGCCCCAAGCTGCTATTATTTTTAATCTTGTAATACCTATGATAATATCGATCACCAAAACTATTTTGTTTGTACCCTGAAGCACAATGGCACAGTTTTTGCAAATTTCAGCTAACTCACAAAAATCCAAATTGAGTGAGTAGGCTTTTGCCAGGCTGATTTCTGCCAACTTACCAGAAGTCATTTCAGTAATATTTTATCAGCATAATCCAATTTCATTATATGTCTCTCTTATCTTTTGTCTGTCCTTGTGCCTGCAGTAAATATGCATCTGTAAATTATTAGTACTTGGATAACACAAAATGCAGCTAATGAGGTAGGAGAAGAGAAGGAAAAATGTTGCCTCTGACTGAGAAGTTACTCAACACTGAGAGAAGTGAACACATAAGAGTACGCAGAGAATAATTGCCTCTGAATTCTTCTCTTATACATAAATAAAGTTTTAAAGGGCCCGAGTCAACATTAGCAAATACCATCTCCGGACACTAGTCAAGAACAACTCTACAGATGACACTGTGAAAGATACATCTTGCTCCAGGCCAGAATGAGGGCCTTGTGCAGTCAAGGAAAGATCTCCAGTGACAGTCGTGAGTGTATTAAGTTGCCTGCACAGGGAAAATTTCTTGGGAGGCGGCAGTCTTCTAACAGCTAGCAAGGCCACCACTTTTAAAGTGAGAACTTCAGAGCAAATAGGTACCCTACAAAGAGTCCTTCCCTTACCCAGAATTTGACAAGGAAGAAGGCATTAGCTGGCCCCCTTTCAAAGAGCTCCTTCAGGCCCCCTTTTTTCTCAGGGAACTTGTCATAGATCTGCCGGATATCCACTGCCTCGAGGTAGGGGTCATTGTAGCTGGGGCTTGACTGCCCAATGTGCACAAACAGGTGTTTGTTATACTGCAAGAAGAGGAAAAACATGGAATTAGGAAATCGTTCAGTACCGTTCAGTACATACTGAACATTCAGGATTCTTCACAGAAGACTACTGGAAGTCACTGAAGATTTGATAGCACTTTCCAAAAAAGCAGTATTAGCAGAAATCTCTGCTAATACCAGCTCATGCTGTTATTTCTTTCCTATCAATACATCCATGCTTCTTGCTTCTTCTGAAACATTATTGTTGGGTTTTTTCCTATATTCACTCCTAAACCATTGCCTCACGATACTGCTATATAGTCTGAAATAACCTGAGATACAGTGTTACCTGTCACAGGTCACTCAGTCAAACATCAGTGCTCCTGTCCTACGAAGAGCTGCCTGAAACCCCACAGCAAGGTACCAGCCAAATAGTATAAGCTTTTCTGAACTTTCCTATCTCAGACAGAGGAAATGTAACTGGTCCATCACCAATGTACGTCTCAAGATGCAGTATCGCAAGGTTTAGTGAGACAGGCAGATCTTACTACTTCCATTTTATAGGTGGCACCATGGAAACACATTGATGCAAATTCATCCCAATTGCCCCCAAATTTAAGTTCCCAGCACACCAGAGAAATACATGGCTTCATGTGATCTTACCATCATCTGATTCTGGGTCTAGCCTCCAAGGCTGAACGGGTTAGCTAGAATAGCCCAGCAGGGGCTGTACCACTGTCTTATGACCTCAGTGCCTTGACCTCTGGTATGTGAACATCCATGACCCTGGAAAGGGAGGCCAGAAGCACATGGCACAGAGCTGGCTATATTGCTATAGGCAATTCTATCCTCTAAGAGAAGGGTATCTTGTTTTTCCCAGAGATGGCTTTCTATTCTCAGTAGAGCAATGAAGCAAGTATTTCCATACACATATAGTAGTATAACAAATCCATGATGAACAGGAGCTACCTAAAGACCAAAAATTAATGAGGGGTGGAAGTCAGGTGTGTATCTTACTGTGTCTTGATCTTGTTGTTGTTCCAAGAATGCAGAGAATTCTAACATCCAAAGTTTGGAGCTAGCAACCCTTCGTCCTTGCCAAGCTGGTGCTGATGGGGAAGGCGAGAGGCCAGTGGGAGACTCAAACCCTAAGCACACAGGATTTATATAACAAAATTTAGAAAGAGAAAAGTTGGTAATAGCTTTCCAGTAGAGCACCTGTTGTCAAAGTTGACTAATTACATTTTCTTATGACTTCAGTCATCATGCAAAAATATCATTCACAAGGTTCTCACTCTACCTGTGCTCTAAATGGCTTGTCAGTTACCCTGTGCTAAGACAGCACTGTCAGGGTTGGTAATGATGTAAAAGACAATCTACCTGTTTTTGACATCAGAGAAAACATGTTCAGCAACTTTAGGAGGACCTAGATTGAGCCCAAAATGAGCAGTGAAATAAACTGCTTTAGTATCAGAATGAAGCATCACCATTAACATGACCATTAACCTCTTAAAATGGGGAAACTGAGAAGGAAAAGACATTTGTTGTTCCACTTCGTGAGAAACTGGAAAGGCAATCATATTAAGATGGAAAACAGTGTTCTAGTACATGCAGCATGGTGGAAGAACAGTAGAGATATGTAAACTTTTATTTTCTGCTGAGCCAGGAGAAAAAGAACCCCCAAAACAACCTAAAACAGGAAAAAAATGTTTTTTAAAATAAAACAAAATTAAAAAGCTTCAGCTCTCTCAGTAAAAGGATGGGAACTGGTGATAAGGGGAAATTATATAATTAATTTGGGGCTCATTTAAATATTTCAACAGGTAAAAATATTTTTTAAAAAATTAATTTTTAAACTTTTGAAAGTGTTGGCTATTTTTGAAGTTGGAATATAATTTCAAAGCAAGGGACTACATTTCCTTACCTACCTGGTAATGGCAGTGGAGGCTGTACAGCATAAGGTTGTTGAGAAAAAGGTTTCACACTACAGAAGTACACAAAGAGAGATGGTTAGCAAAAAACCAAACCAAAACAACAAAAAAAGACTCTTGACCAACTGTTTGCACAGATTAGATCAAGTGCTTCTCTTGAGGGAGAAAGTAACATAAGTGTCTTCGGGAAATTATCTTTCAGTGTGAGCAAGAGAGGATCATGGAGAAAGACTCAAAAAACAGTAAGGGGCCAGGACTGGACTAAAAAAAACTGCAGCTGGTCAGCCTGCTCTCCCTGCAGACTTGTTATTCAGAGATCCTTATCAGTCTGTTAATACACTTGTGCCCATTCGCTTATCCTTTTCTTTCAACCACAGATAGATTTAAATTTATGCAAGTGGATATACATCTGGGCTGGATGCCTCTCAGACTTTTAGGCCCAGATTCAGAGATGTTCAACACCCACAGCTGAACCTAGCTTTCAAGACAGCTCAGCTCCATTTTAACACCACTGTAAGAAAAATCAGGATCTAGAGACATCATCTGACATCAGGGGTACCAGTCACTTCAAGCTTCTAAAAGAAACTCACATTGATGCTTCCTTGTTTGCTTTCAAGGTAAAGACACAGAATCTACTTTTTATTTCTCCTAGGATGGCTTCCATTGCTTTACTAGCCATTTTTCCCCACAAGGTATTTTAATAGCATCTGTTCCCTGATCTGCTCCACAAATACTAGCAATAGCACCACAAGAGAGCAGGAACACATGGCTTGCGTGAAGAACATACTCCCTTCCAGTTGCTTGTCCTTAAGTTGGCTTAAATTGGTCCTGTTAGGTTATGTGATAAAAAGTGTGTCCCCATACAAACAAAGGAGCACAGAGGAACAATGGCAGGTGGAGCAACCTGAATAATACTCTGACACAACTACACCCAGGGCCATCACTGGTGAAGGACCAGCCCATCAAAGGCTCATCTCCACACTGGGGCAGGGGAGCCCCAGTAACCGGGTCAGAGAAACAGAGCCCCTGCCAGGGCTATCACAGGAGAGCCATCAGCCCCATTGCCCAGGTGTGAAACCAATCCAGTGAGCCAGCTGGATAGGCTTACAAACCAGTCACCTTACAAATGAGGGGGTTACTGCCTAGATGGTACGGCACACATTATGGAATGCAAGGGAAGAGCATTTTGGGATTGCACAAGATTTATTATGGGGATGTTTAGGGAGAATATGGCAATAAAAGGTGTCAGTCGCATGTAAGAAGGTCAGTACAGTTGTCTGTCCATGCCCTGCACCTTGTCAGTGCAGTCTGTTCTATCTTCTCACTAAATTCTATTTCTAATTGTTTTCCCGCATGAGGAGCTCTCAGTTCTCTGTGTGTGTGTGTGCGCACATGTGTGTGTGTGTTTCTGGAGTGCCAGCAGCCAGTGAGGGTGTGATCACTAGCAATTATCAAGCCAGACTAGCCAGCAAGTAGATGGTTTGGGAGCCAGCTGTGTGTGTCTCCAGGGGTGAAGATGCTTTCAGAGGGACCAAGAGGTTCAGGCCAAATGACAGAGAGACTGTGGAGTCTGGAGGTCTACTGAAAGATGAGTTTGTGTGTCTGTGTTTATCTCTGTGGGAGACAAACTGGGGAAAGTGAAGATCCAGCTACTGGGTGGACTGTGTATCTAAGCCCAGTTACTAGAGACATTCACAGTGTGTGTGTTTGTGCACATGCATGTGTGTATGTGTGTGTGTGTGTGAGAGGCCTGCACCAGCAACTGGAGTGGGGCTGTGGCCTCGGGGGCTCACCTGCCTGGGTGCCAGCACACAGGGAGACAAGGGATCCCAGGGCAGCTACTGGATGGATCCACAGTGCATGTGTATTTCTCACTAACACACCCTCACCCTCATCAGCCAGAGAGGGGTACAGGATAAGGCTGTTGGCGCTGTTTGTATTTGTGTGAGTGCTGAGCATTGTCTGTCTGTGCTGTTCTGTGTGGCCAGCCATGTGTATATGTGTGTATGTGCAATGTATATGTGTATTTGTGTGTGCACCTGCCGGGAATACATGCTCAGCCTCGCTACTGCTTGAACTTGGGAGCATGGAGCTGCAGCAGCCTCACCTCTATCAGGCTGCTAGATTCAGCAGCTCCCTCAAATAACCCTTATTAGGCTGCTTGAGTCATGGGACACATTAAAGGGGTGTAATTCATGTTGAAGGTACCATATGAAGACCTAGGGTTTTATCTATTTAAGATTCTCTCATGGCTCTCAGTTTCTCTTCAACCACGGGCCTTAAGTCTCAGATCCACGATCAGGGAATCTGTCTGAGAGCAAAGACTACATTATCTTAGCGTTTTATAAATCCTGTAATAGCTAATGGTGTTCCTTAGGCAGCATAGAGGAAGCAGCAGAAGCACCTGCTTTGGATGCTCACATGAAGGAATACTCACTCTTGGGAAGATCCAGCTTGGCCAGGCAAAGCTCCTTGCCAAAACTGCAAGAGAACAACATACAGGCAAAAGTCACAACTCTTAGGACAGAGATGAAAAGCAAGGCTTGCTCCTTTCTGAGGAAAGAAACTGCAAGCTCACAGACTTTTAAAGATGTGACTGAGCTGTATCTCTTTATCTCTTCTTTCTACCTTCCTGGTTTCATCCTTGTGGAGGTGCTGACTGGTCTTCATTTTCTTTCTTCACACTAATACTAGTGACATGCAAGCAACTGACCCAATAGTGGTTTTTAATGTAAAATACTATGTATGCACCTTGTGCCTCTGTCTCCAAAGCTTTAATGATGCTCACTCTCTTGGAGAGACCATTTTCCCCAGGTGAGCTCCATGGGAGTATTTTGGCAAAAATCAGTGCTCAGCAAAAGCTCACTAGGCCCAACTTAAATGTTAGGCGATGCTGCCAGGCCTCCTCTATTAAGGATTTTATATAAGGGCCATCAATTTGTGATCTAAGCTCTCAGGGTAAGCTTGGGAATGACAAGCTTGAGAAAGGGTCAGGATGGCCCAAATGGTTTTAATCCAACAAGATCCTGGACTAAGAAAGTGATACAGACACCTAAAAATATTTCAGGCAGCTGAAAACCCAAAGGACCTGATTGTTCTCTCATTTGCATAATTTTTAAAAGACTCTATTTACATCAGTGTGAGCAAAGAATCAGACCCAAACTGTTGAAGCCATATGACAGATTTGCTCTACAAAGACAATGACTTTTGGTCCATTCTTTCTGTTGTTCTCAGCATTTTCCTGAGCAGGTCCCAACACCCTTTCAAATACTCAAGTGTCTTCAGCCCAACTCCTCCAAGACACTGATTCACTCACCCCAGAAACAGCAGGGTAGGCTGGTCGTGGGAGACCAGGCAAGGCCATTTTACTATGGAAGGCAGTTGCAGAGATAATCTGGGCAGATGACATTGTAGCCATACTCTGCATGGCTTTATCTTTAGCTGCCTGATCCTATGGGCAAGAGTAGAAACAAAAAAACCAGAATTATTATAATGATAAAGAAGTTGCCTGGTCTAATGCTGCATAACCAGGATTCTCATCAGCTTCTTTGTAGGGAACAAGCATCTCTGAAAACCTGGGCAGCAGACTCACCCATAACTGTCCTAAGAACTCTTCAAAGCATGTAAGTCTTTCACCCACTACTATAGCTTCAGATGTGATTAATCATCCTTTCTGAAATGCTGGAATCACTAGTTTAGAGACTGCTAAGCATTTATCCCTTCTGTCTGAAGGCTTTCAGCCACACAGCTGAAATGTTTTGTTATGGAAAGTACAGTCCTAACTGACTCGTGTTTTAATCATTGGTAAGAATATTCAATGGGAAAGACTCTTGCTTATCAAAAAAACCCTCTGAAAACAAGCTCACAAAAGGAGTTTGTCATCATCACTGCAAAAAGACTACTTCAGTTTGGGACTGCATCAGTCTCAGGTAGAGTTGATAATTTTATTCCCATCCCTGCAGAAACAGGAAATCTTAATAACCTCCCAGGGCACATATGCAAGGACATTCCTTTTTGTATTTTAACAGGGCTGTGGAATTGCACACATTTTTAGAGGCAATGACAGTGCAACAACTAGGGGGTCTGATATATGTTTAAAACAAGTAGCATTCTTCATTTCTTCTCCCAAGGAATAAATAGACAAACATAAGCACATCCCCACATTCTGCCTTTCCTCCTACATCCCCTACAATTAATCTTCATCCTTCAAACACTCCACATTTATCTGCGACATTATAATTGTAATGGCAATGCCACAGATGAATTCATGACTTGGAGAAACTGTTGAAAGAGGTAAGCTCTTGCCGTCTTCTTCAGAAATTCTCACTTCCCACTTGCATTCATTGAACTGCACTAAGTTCTCACCCTTGGGTCTCCGTTCTCTCTAACCCCTCCGCTTCCTGTAAGTTTTCTGAAGTTCAAAGCCCAGGGATTCCGATGTGTCTAACACAAAAACATTTGGAGAAGGCGTAACAAAAGCTCAAGAATAAATGATAACCTTTAAGTGGAATGATCAGTAGGAATGGGCAAAACTTAGATATCTTCTTTTTTACAGTATCTGTGACTCCTGTTAGTACCATTGAAGTGAATGGAATGGAAACATTTTAATTGCTGAGAAAGTTCCTAAGATTCTCCAAAGCTATGGGAAAGTTTTTCAGAATCCAGTTTAAATGATGCTTTAGGGAAAACTTTAGGGATTACCTACAACATTTTTTAAGGGTAAGGATTCTTTTCTGTTTTTTCATGACATACCATTTCCCAGTTGCCATTGCAGAAAAGGATTTTTTTCCTCCCCTTACTTTCTCACTGGAAAAATCATATTTGTCTACCTGAGTTTATACATGAGTTTATGGGGAAGAAGCATTTAGTTGTGCAAGTATTAAAGTAAAAAAAAAAAAAAAAAAACCAATTAAGAAGAGAAAAGATTTTCTCTATTAACCCCTGTTTAAATGCCTGTTTGTTTAAACAAAAATTCTGTTTTGTTTAAATGCCTGACAGACTTCTGGAAAAAGCGTGTTTTTGTAAAAGACATCTCCTTTCTCTTTCAGCTAACAGTTCTGTATTCATTTGTATCGAGTTTCCAGTACAAAAAAAGAAAAAAGAAAATGAAGCAACAAAAACTTTTATCAAACATTTGCAATGTTTGTATTTTCTTTTATTATTCTCAAAATGCATAATAATAACACTACCACCACAATTTCCCTCTTTTTCCTTAGTACAGGTGATATCTATTAGCCGCTACTGACTTCTGGGAACAGATTTTTCTCCAAGCTTTACCCTACTTTCCCACCTCTATCTGTTGTAGGCATAGTGCACGCTTAGAGAAGACACCCCAATTTGTGTGGACATGGTAGTATTATAGTAATTGCACTGAAAAGTCAGCGTGTAGCTGCTCTGATCTCTAGGATATAAATATGAAAATGTATACTCGCTATGGAAAATGAACAGTGATAGAAGCACACACAGCTATCACCAGGAACGGGAAGAAAGAGCAGCTTTTGTGATTTCATTTCCTTGCTCTTTGAAAATGACTAGCAAAAGCAAAGTAGTAAATGAGTTGAATCAGTGCTACAGACTTGCCTCTGCAGGCGGAAAGGAACAGTCTGGTACTGGCGAATGGTTCACTGCAGGCAGCTGTGCAGAGCTCACAGCATGGCCTGGGGTGGTGTAAAAGGAGAACAACCAATGGCTCCATGGAGCTCCCTGAGACACCTTCGTTCCCTGAGAACAAAAACGGCCAGCTCCTGTGTGCTAAGTGGAAACAGGCTCGGCTGACTGGCTTTTCAATCATGCCAAATCCCAGAGCTGTGACACGCAAGGAATGAAATCAAGGTTACAGATACAAGCAGCAGTAAATCTTTTAACAGCCTGGGCAGTTGTTTCCTACTTGCTCTAACTTGCCTTTCAAGCAGGCCTCCACCTGAATTGACCACTTAACAGCACCACAGGTTTCAAGCTTAGGCAGCCCTACCTAGAAGCACTGAATTAGACAGTTGTAATTTGTGGCTCCTTCTCTTTATCAGAGCAGCTGGAAACACAACAGGCTAATGACAGACACAACACGGTTTTCTAAAATGGAGCTGGGGATGGGATGTGGGGGGTGCAGTCATGACTTAGAGGTAATCACTGCTTGCAATAGAGATGCATGCACTTCAGCACTGGTCAAGACTGAGTGCCAACAGTTCACTCACAAAGAGTCCACTTCTCCTGGTGCCCAGAGAAGAGTTGCCCAGACAGCCAAGAGGAAGCACTAACAGCCTGACTCAACAGTCAGGGCTAGACTGGGCTGTCAAGATCCTCATCATCACCCGAAGCATGGAAGATCAGGGAAGCAAACACACTTCCCTCCAGATCACTTACTGCCATACCAAATCAGGAAGGTCAGCATGCACCTTCCTTCTCTGGCTGTCTCAGTGATACATAACAAGGACCAGACCTCCCATCCTGCTCGGCAAGCCCTTTCTGGAAGGCTCACATTCTAACAGGGGACATGCTCTTGTGCAATTGTCACCCATAAACTTGACCTTCTTGACATTTCTGATAATTCAGTCTGAGCACATAAACCATCTCCCTGCTTCAAATCTGAGTGGAAATAAATGTCAAGAGGTATCAGTTCATTAGCGTTATCTCAGAGCTCTTCCTATAGAAAGGAAAACACAGATTTGCTCAAGCAAGTAGTCAACCATTTTCTTTCTCATTAGCCCAGGCCTCTTCAAATTAGGTCTGAATTAATCAAGGGGCAAAGTCTATTCAGCTGGCAGGCACCTTTTTACCTGAGAAGATGCCAGCTGGCTTTATTGCTTCCTCTCAGTGGTTATGCCAACTCAGAACACTTTCTCATGGACAACTCCACATCACTACTACCACTAGTAGAGGTGGAACTAGCACTGCAGTAACTGTAAGGCTACCCTTTCCCAAGGCCACCACAACACCAGGGACTGATTACTTGTCATCATCTGTAACCATAAACCCCTCCTTCTCAGGTAAACACTCTTTACATACTCCCAAGTCTAAGGGTCTTTCAGTCTTGGATGACAGCAGCATAAACCAGAGGTAGAAATCAGACACATAAAAGTTAAAGTTATTGTTTCTTTATTCTTTAAATAGAATTGCTCCAGACATCACAGAGCTACAACAATACAAGTGTTTGCACAGCACTTCCTGGGAAGTACCTTTTACTCCCCAGCTTACTACAGTTCGGTGGCTAATCTCACCCTTTTTTAAGGCTATTCAAAGAGGGAACGGATGAGGGAATGGCTGACTCAGGGGGCTTGCGTGGTATGTTAAAGGATACCCATCATACCTTGAGCTTGGCTTGGATCTCTCTAGCTTTCCGCCTTGCCAGGACCTGGATGTGACTAGATACCTGCATTGAAAGACAAAAATCCATCTTCATTCCAGAGGAGTACTTGGTAGCTACTTGCAGAAGTAAACATACTTTAGGCACCTTGTGCAATAGGGAGTTATTTAGGGTTAAGGGGAGGGGGGCTGAGGTACCAATGAGATGCTTTTCTGAACATACCTTAAGTGTCATGAAATGAGGTGGGGGACCAGCAAAGATGGACCATTTAAGGCCTTTTCCAATTCAAATGGCTTTATCAAGCCAGAGACCTCCTTTAAAACTAAAGAACCCATCCTTAAATCTAGGGTTTGAGAGTTCTGATCTCTTTGCTCCCCATCTTGGCCTCCTTTTAGAAGGAAAACCCATGTTCCATATCCCTGGCCACTATATAATGACTCTCAGAACTTCCCCGTATCTAATGTGGGCTGAAACACATCATAGAATGATTTAGGTTGGAAGGAACTTCTGGATGTCATCCACCAACCCCATACCCAAAGCAGGTCTAGGTTGCTCAGCGCTTTGTCCAGCATAGCCTGGACTGTCATTCCCAAATTACAAAGATTCCCTTTTCATCTTGTGTGCCAGGTATTTTCAAGATCACAATTGCTGTCTGGGCTGAACAAAGAATCTTCATATAGAGGACCACTGATGTTCACTGAAACGTTCATTAGTAGACCAAACAAATAAAAATCACACACTGTTTAACAGTAGAAAAATTTGTTTGTCGTGATGTGGTTGGGAGACGTGAGCATTACAGTCCTACTGTTAAATGCCTGAGCTCTGATGACTCTTCCCACCATTCTTATTAACCAGCTCAGCACAACAGCCTCTTTCCAGCAAAGCCAAAAACTAATAGCAAGTGAACAGCAAGGGATTTGTTCTCATAAGCCCCCATTGTGTCTAGTGGTCTAAAGAAGCTAATGTTTACAGGGAAAACTTTACACTTACCTGTTTCCTTGTGCGTGTTTTCCCTGTTCTCAGCTTAATATAGCGGGCAATCAGCTCATTTCGGCCTGGAACAGAGAAATAATGCAAATATAAGTTTAGAAGGCTATGACCCCAGGGAAAAGATGCACAATGGAATTATCTATCTATAGAGATCAGCAGTAGGGTGGTACTCTGTCACACTATCTTCTCTCTTAGAAAGGTATTCATGAGTTCACATGGTAGAGGTCTGAGTTTTAGGAGCAGAACTTTGGGCTGCAAATTCTATTTCCCAGTTTGTATCTGTAGAGCTTAAAATTACCAATAAAAAGGAGAATCATATGCTTTGCTTAATAATTACATTACCATGGTGTGTACAAGCTGTAAACATGGATCAAGATCGCCAGTAGAAACAAAGAAGAAAAAGGAAAGCCACTCGCCCTAAAATATTCAGACAGAAAGGCAAGAAGGAAGATCCAGGAAACAGGCCAGTCAGCCTCACCTCAGTCCCTGGGAGGTGATGGAGCACGTAATCCTGGAAACCATTTCCAGATACATGAGGGACAAGAAGATGATGAAGTAGTCCACATGGATTTACAAATGGGAAATCATACTTAACCAGCCTGATAGTTTCTACAGTGAGGTGACTATCTTAGTGGATGAGTACAGAGCTGTATATATTGTGACTCTATCAGGGCTTTTGACGCTGTCTCCCATAACATCCTCATAGGCAACCTGACAAAGTATGGGTTAGATAAGCAGACAAGGACATGTACTGAAAACTGGCTGAATGGACGGGTCCAGAGGGCTTTAATCAGTGGCAAAAAGTCCAATTAGAGGCAAGTCTCTAGTGGTGTACTGGGGTGAATACGGTTCAACATCTTCATTAATGACCTGGACATAGTGAACCCTCAGCAAGTTCACAGACGATACAAAACTATGAAGAGGCTGATACACCACATGGCTATGCTGCCATTCAGAAGGACCTTGACTGGAGAAATGGGCCGACAGGAATCTCATGAAGTTCAACAAAGGAAAATACAAAGTCCTGCACCTGAGGAAAAATAACCCCAAACACCAGTATATGCGGGGGGCTGACCATCTGGAAAGCAGCTTTGCAGGAAAGGATTTAGGGGTCCTGGCTGACAACAAGCTGATAATGAGCCAGCAATACACCCTCGTGGCAAAGGCGGCCAACAGCATCCCAGGCTGCATTAGGAGGATTGTTGCCAACAGGTCAAGGGAGGTGATCCTTCATCTCTACTCAGCACTGCTGAGGCAACATCTGGAGTACCGCATCCAGTTCTGGGCTCCTTGGCATGAGAAAGATGTGGACATACTGGACTGAGTCCAGCAAAAGGTCCTCAAAAATGATTAAGGGACTGCAGAATCTTTCATATGAGGAGAGGCAGAGAGAGCTGGGACTGTTCAGCCTGGAGAAGACTCAGGGGGGCTTTTATCAGTGCATATAAATACCTGACGGGAGGCAATGAAGAAGAGGGAGCCAGCCTCCTCTTAATAGTACCCAGTGAGAGGACAAGAAACAATGGGCACAAACTAAAACAAGTGAAATTCCATCTGAAAGGAAGAAAAGAAGAAGGGGGAAAGGGGGAAAGAAAGGAGGAAAGGGGGAAAGAAAACACGAAATTTTTTTACTGTAAGGGTGGTCAAATACCAGCACAGGCTGCCCAGAGAGGTTGTGGTCTCCATCCTTGGAGATACTCAAAACCTGACTGGACACAATCCTGGGCAACCCGTGGTAGCTGACCCTGCTTGAGCAGTAGGGCCAGACTAGACAATATGAAGAGTTCCCTTACAACCTAAATGAGTCTTTCATTCTGTGATTAAGTACAAGAAAATAAACACAATAGGAAAGTACATGGAAATATTTACACAGAATTTATCCGTGTGACATGATACAGTGAATTAAAAGTGCTTTCAGGCTCTTGCGGGCATCCCAAAAAAGGAGCATTCTTCAGAAGAGATATAGAGAAGGAAGCTTAGCTTTGTGGAAGGTTTGGGCAGCTCCCATAAACAGGAAGGTGGGGCACTGGCTGGGAGAGGTGAAGGAATCCTTGTCCAATTACGGAACAAGCATACACTGCAGGCTGAAGACAGTTAGGTTTTACACCTTGATTTTAAGAGATGACACAGTGAGATTAGGACCTTCAGGGCCAAGGGAAATGAAGACAAGTAGCTTTATGGTCAATGTGAGAGGAGAGGCGAATGCAGAGATGCAAAGACAAGGCGGTCATGGTGACAGATAAGGGAAATGGCATTAACAGCAACATGAATGAAATGGCTAACGAAACGTGAAGCTACACAGTCACTGGTACAGAATTTGAAATTGCATGGAATGAGAGCAGAAAACTGCAGAAGACTCAGGTCCAGGATTTAAAAATCAGGAAGAGAAACGGAGAAGGCTGAGCTACTGACAACTTCAGCAGTGAACGGGAGAAGCAAGCTTAGACCCCATTTACAGCTAGGGTTTGAGGGTGGACACCATCCACAGAACTGCTTGAGGGTGGACACCAAGACACGAGGCAGACCATGCAGGTTCCATACACTGGCTCTCATGTATGAAATCTAAGCAGACACACAGATTTTATTCTTTCCTGGAGATAGAGGAATAAAGAGCAGAAACAGAAAAGCAGCAGCTACACATCTGAACTCTAGGCTGATTCAAGGCAGAAAACATGACAGAAAGAGCAGGCTCTGCAAAATAATACATTTGTGGTGACCACACTAGTAGCGATACAGTACCTCACTAAAGAGCAGGGAGTGGGAAGTCCAAGGCTGTGAGACATCTTATATGGCTGCAAGTGTTTGAGGAATGAAGCAGGAATAAACTGGGAAGCAAAGCCACAGCTTTTGTGAAGTTTATTTATAACAAAATTATAAAAAAACCAGTATTTTCTATGGAAAGTTTATGGGCTGAATGGAGAACTTGTACATTAGGACATCACAGTCATCAAAAAAGCAAGCCGTGAAAATAGACACAATATTTATTCCAGTAGTTTAATATTCCATGAAAAAGTTGTCACTTGTTTTTATTTTAAACCCTTGTTTAACTCAACCCTGAAAAAAATGGATGCAAGGAAGGACTCTGTGCTAGAGATTGACCACCCAACCTTTTAGGGAAGGGCTGGCAAAGCTCCTAATTCCATCCTGAAAAGAGAAGAATGTAAATGTCTATGACTGCATTTAGGCCACATTCATGAAACATAACCAAAGCACACATAGGGATGGGAAAGCATTTTACATTTACAGATCTTAATCTTTTCCTATTGGTGTCATTACAGAAGCTCTCCTTATTTCCCTGGGAGAAGAATCAGGTCTGTAGCTGAGAAAAGAAAACAGCTCCAGCTCCTCTGTACACAAATTTGGAGCTATTTCTGTGCCAGAAACACAGCACCCAGCATGTAACCACCGACCTCTTCAGTTCCCACAGTTTCAGCATTAGCATGGTGACATGCCCAGGAGAGTTTGATGGGAGCAGATGCTGTTATGCTACCTTCCACCTGGCTGCTTTTCCAACCAATATAACCGTTTTTACAAAGCCAAGACCAATTACTAGTGACACATACCCACACCGCCTTTTTCTAGTGCCAAGAATAATATTTATGGCTTTTCAAAGCCTCCATCTGTTGGACATGGATCCAAGTTGAAAGGTAAGAAACAGCAGAAGTGATTCTTCTTGCACAGATGCCAGCATATACGAAATTTCAGAAGGACAGTTTGATACACGTCAGAAGTAGGAAATGTGCAGAACAAAACAAGGTGCTCAAACCCCATTATCTATAAAGAAACAAGAAGGAAAATTTATATACACCAAGAGGACCCTTTGAGGGGCAAGGGGAATGAGTTAATGGAATAGAGGAAAAACTAGCCTTGAGAATAAGTGGATGTGGAGAATTTCAGGCAAACTTTTAAAGGGCTATTTTTATCGGGCTATATTGACAATTTGAACACATGGAAACTCTCCAGACACTGGCTCAAATATGGGTCATCCTTGCAAAACTAATTTCAATGAATTCTCAACCATGTATAATAAATGTTATGGAGCAAATTTAGCTTTGTTGTGTTTCCATGAAAGTCAAGAAATTATACAGACTGAGCAGTCTGATAGAGCACTGTTCTGCTTCAGCAGTAGAGGACTGCAGGGGTAATCTGTGTGAGAGGATGCCATGAACAGCCCCATGCCAGTCACAGTCAATACCAGCCATCTCCAAAATGGATGAAAACAGCAATCCATCAAAACCTCAACCAGTCAGAGGAGCACAAGCTACCTTTTTCAAACATATTTTGGAAAGGGTAATAGCCACTAGGGGCAGGAGACACATAAGGAGGCACACAAAAGGAACCACAAAAAGGAGACATGAGGATGCACAGAAGGAGAAATGCAAGATATGTAAAAAGACACATTTGGAGAAAAGGAAGGAGAAAAGGAGACATGTGGTAAGGGACATTGTTGGGGACATGGCTGGAAAAGTACACTTGGAAAGAGGTGCTCCATGGCAGGAGTACACTTTGAGGCAACTGCAGCCCATGGAGGACCCATGCCAGAGCAGGGACGACCCTGAAAGGACTGCAGCCCATCGAGAACCCATGTAGGAGCAGAGGAGCAGCAAGAAGCAAGGAGCACCAGAGGAAAAAAACTAAAAAGCAAGGACTGGCAGAAAGAAACATTTACACAGTGACCCCAGCCTCCTGCGCCAACCCAGCACCTCATCAAAGGAATCAGGAGGAACTGTTATAGAGAATAAAACAAGAGGAGCTAAGACTAGGAAGCGGGGAGGAGAGGCGATAAACTGTAGTTGAGCCTGGGAAAGTGGGAGGTGTTTCCCTAAGTGTGTGTTTAACTGTTTGTCTTTGACAACATCAGCAAAAATTGCAAAGCTCTCTCAGGCCACGTACTTCACTGGAGAAGACGAGAGGGAGGGGAAACTGTTGTACAAATTGCACATATTAGAAGTTGGTATAGAAATTCTCTACAGAAATTTTCTAGAGAGAGCATTCAAATGTGGATCCTCAAAATTTCCAGTTTTAGAATTCACTTGCCACCACCTCTCTTACAGCCTTCCTCTTC